GGACCAGCGGGTTTAAATGCATGCCAGGCGTGTGTGCATGTGTGCCCAAGATCCCGAGAGGAGAATGGAGGAGAAGGGATTGCGGCCATCCCCCCCAGGGGGTGAGTTCTCGCTTTCTGTCTCTCTGTCTCTCTCTGTCTTTCTGGCGAGCGCACATGCCCTATAGCAAAAACCTCTAAAAAAAAAAAAAAGTGCTACCTAAAACCAGCTAGGGATGTGGTAGTTAAGGGGGCTGGATCCCACATGGCCAACCCAGCAGTTCGAGTCTCAGATCCGGTGGCTTGCATAACACACCAGGCACGGGTGTGGAGGTGCCCTAAATCCCCAAAGGAGAAATAGAGAAGGGATTGCAGCAGGCCCGTCCCCCAGGAAGGATGCTTTCTCACTTTCTCTGTCACTCTCCAGTGAGCACCCACACCTTCTGACAAACTTTTTTAAAAAAGGAAACTAAGTCACATTTTTTTTTTTTTTAGTTCAAGAGGATGTGCATTGTGTAGTGATGAGGTTCTGTGTGGGTAATTCAGTGACGGTTTCGTCACCCAATCTGACCGCCTCTTTAGGTTCTCTGCTATTTACCTTTCTCACCGCTTAACCGAACAGCACTTTCTGAAATCAAACCCGCTCAGATCCAAACAGTGCCCAATTTATAACCTACGTCCACTTGCAGAGTTATAAAACTAAATGAGTTTCCCCTTCTCTATTTTGTACACCTTAATTACTGGGGAGGGAGTACATTAAAACTGAGATCATGGGTTAATTAATTTGTCCTGGACTGTAGAATTTTATGGACAGCCAGAACTAAAGTAACGGTGGTGTAGGTGCATTAGACGAAACATGGCTTATAAATGTTACAGAAATTCCCGTAATTAGTCCCATAGCAGCCATTTAGCTTGGGGATTTTATAGCTGACATAAATTATGAAGGTGAAAAGTAAGAAAAATTTTAAGTTGACATGGTGGCCTTTGCACAAAGTATCATTTGAGGAAAACTGTTTTGCATTTTTGTTAATAATTTTTTTTTTTTGGAGAGGTTTGGTTTTTTTTGTTTTTTTTTTTTCTATAGGGCGCATGTGCTCGCCAGACAGGAAGAAACAGAGACAGAAAGCGAGAAATCACCCCCCAGGGGGATGGCCAGGCCGCAATCCCTTCTCCTCCATTCTCCTCTCGGGATCTTGGGCACGCACGCACACGCGCCCGGCGTGAGTTTTAAGCCACCGGGACCGGGACGCGAACCACAGTCTACTACGTGGGAGTTCAGCGACATAGCCATTATGCTAACTGCTGGTCCCTTTTTTTTTTTCAGTTTCCACAATTCCCCCTTTTTTTCATCTTACACTTTAATGCTGTTTCCACTGGAAGGCAGTGGCCAGCAGGTGTTAAGGTGTGTTGAGCACAAGTCATACCTTATTAAAATAGATAGACCACCAGCATCATTTCTAAAAGGATTTAACTGCCAACCTAAGGATAAAGAGACTTGTTTGATCACACTCTTCAAAGTCCTTTTTGCATATTTGAATAGCTAGAAAAGGAAAGTTGCAGGTAATATTTAAATAGTGTTCCCTGTCATTGGCTCTTGACACGTTTTAACCTACCTGTTAAAATGCAAGTTATAAATAGCTCCCCTTTCAAAGGTGTTCATTATACCTCATTGGCTCTTGTTATAGAAAATGCAAATGTCATTTGGAAAGTGCCCCATTCGGAGTGTGAGCCATTACCGTGCGCTCTTCCACGCCTGGTTCCTTGTCAGCATCGCCACCGGGTTCAAAAGCACGGTTGCCTTTGAAATGGAGATGACGCGGGGACTTCTGGCTGGCTGGCTCCGTAGGTAATGAGAAACCGTTTCTGCTTTTGCAGGGCAGCAAGCAGCTGTTGAACAACTACCCTGTCTTCATCACAAGCAAACAGTGGGATGAGGCTGTCAATTCTTCCAAGAAGGATGGGCGACGGCTCCTCCGCTACCTCATCAGATTTGTTTTCACGACCGATGAGCTTAAGTACTCATGCGGCCTTGGGAAAAGGAAAAGGTCAGTGCAGTCAGGAGAGGCAGGTCCCGAAAGACGCCCTCTGGATCCAGTTAAAGTAACATGCCTCCGAGGTACTGCATCCTTCCGCCCAGTGTCCGCCATCTGTGACCCCATTTCATCGCATTGGCTGTGGCTCCCCCGCCCAAGTGTTCAGCCTTCCTGTATTTTGATTTCTTTCCGCTGAGACCTTCTAGGCTTCATGTGGCCCATCTACGTGGGTTTGAGCTTTGTTTGAGCGGTACATAAGCATTGCCTAGCACCTCATGTTTCACGCTTGAGATTCGGATTTTCTTTGCAGCAGAGAAGACCATGTCCAGCGAAACTGGAGCGTAGGGCAAGAGGAAGGGGAGGCGTAGCAGTTTTGTTTGGTTTTGTTTTGTTTTTAACGTTTGGGAAAATGACAATCCCACTTTCACCTCCAGCCTGTGCCCCCATCCAGTTACCTCTGAGAGAATGCTTTGCCTACCTCCTTGAATTCATTTAGAATTGATTTTCTTTAGTGCCTGCAATCTAGCCTGTTCAGTAACATTTTCTTTTTCTTTCTTTTTTTTTTTTTTTTTTTTTGGTTAAAAAGAAATTGCTTTATTAAAAATAGAGGGACCAGCAGTTGGCATAATGGCTATGTCGCTGGACTCCCATGTAGCCGACCACAGTTTGAGTCCCGGACTCAGTGGCTTAAACTTACACCTGGTGCGTGTGCGTGTGTGCCCAAGGTCCCGAGAGGAGCATGGAGGAGCAGGGAGTG